AAACAGGGGGAGGAGACATGTAGGTAGCAGTTATGGCAATTGGGAAAATGTTTGCTTTTGCCGATCGGCAAGAAACCAACGCGTTTCACCAAAAGTAGGAAAAAGAAAAGTAAAAAAATAAAAAATAAATAAAAAATAAAAAATAAAAAAACGTCCTACCAACCAAATCACAGCAGCGTGGCCTGTTGAAAATTCAAAAGGACGGGAAGGAGACACGTAGGTAGCAGTCACTTGTCAAAGGAGCTTATGCTTATCTTGAACTTTTTTGTTATACAAAAGACAAATGCGAAAATTCCATTAGTTAATTAAGGTATTGTTTAGTATCATGCCAAAAACTGAAAATGATTTTTTTTTTCGTAAATGAAAATGATTTCCAAAAGGTTAGTATTTTCCTACTTTTTCTAAAACCAAGAACCATAACAAAATATGTTAATTTTCTTTACGAATTTTGTTTTTAAGAAAGCAAAACAAAAATTTTAAAATTTAGAGAAATATCAAAAGGCACCTAAAACAGTAAAGCTTAATTTGATATCAATTACTAGTAATTTAATCATTCCAAATTATTTTTACAAAAAAAGTGGTTTTCAAACGTAGTTGAATTTATAAATTTATTAAAATATTTTTAATAATTTGTTTTTATATTAGAATACATATCAATTTTGATCCTCAACTGTAAAGTTATGTACAATTTTCATATCTCAACTTTTTTTTACACCTTTTTAATTTATTAATCATTATGAGAAATGTATTTTTTTAATCATTATATTAGTAAATCTATTAAATTTAACTGAATCTAAATATTTTTAGTCCTTTAAGTTTAAATATATGCACATTTTTAGTTCATCAACTTTAAGTTGAGGGACTAAAGATGTATAAACTTAAATATACTTAACGAATTAACTGTCGAAAAATTAAAAAACACATTTTTCATAGTTAAGGATAAAAAAAGTACAAAAAAAATTAAAAGATGAAAATTATGCAAACTGTTAAAGTTGAAGGACCAAAATTAGCCTTTAACCTTTATATTATTTCATTAATAACATTTTTATGTAAAGTCCAACCTGAAAATAGTTGTCCCGTTGGGAACAGTTTACGGGCTCGAATGATAACAAAAGTACTACAAGGGTAAAATGAACCAAACATTAAAAGTTCAAGGGTCAATTCGTTATGGAAAAAAAAGAGGAAAAACATCTAAACAGCCCCTGCCCAGATTCTATAAATAATGGTGTCTCACACAGATGAGGGTGGTCGCGGCAAGGACAGCTTTAAGAGGAACTGCCGTCGTCTATATGATGGAGCAGAGAGGGAGAGAGAACACCCG